TTACTGAAAGAATTGGCTGAAGTAATTTCAGAGCCACTGGCTACCATCTTTGAGAGCTAATGCAAGTCAGGTGAGATCAGGATGACTGGAAAAGGGCATATATAGTACCAATCTGCAAAAAGAGAAGGAACATGCAGGGAATTACAGACCAGTCAGTCTGACCTCAATACTTGGAAAAAATCATGGAGCAAGTAGTCAAGGAAACTTACTTTGAAGCACCTTGAAGAGGACAAGGTGATCAGGAGTAGCCAGTATGGGTTCACCAAGGGAAAATCACGCCTGACCAACTTGATTTTCTTTGGTAAGGTGATGGGGTCTGGGGTTATGGGCAGAAAGCCATGAATGTGATATACCTTGACTTTTAACAAGGCTTTTGCACCGTCTCCCACAACATGCTTATTAACCAGCTAAAGAAATACAGGCTAGATGAAAGTCAGGTGGATGTGTAACTTGGATCATCATAGTAAACAATGGCTATCAGATTGGGAGGTGATATCAAGTGGGGTCCTCTGGGGTCAGTCCTCGGTCCTAGTATTTTTTTTAACATCTTCATTAATGATTTGGATAATGGGATTGACTTAGTGTTATCCACAAATTTCTTAGCTGTTAAGTTGGGTAGAACTGTAGACACTTTGGAGGGTAAGGCTATGATCTGGAAGTTTGGATAAACTGGAAAAAGTCCAGCACTTGGGACAGAATAATTGCATGCACAAATACAGACTGGGAAATGACTAGCTAGGCTACAGTATGAGAGTGGACAGATGCTTGGCTGGGATGGTTTTTCACGGATGATCTTGCCTCAGGCAGGGTGCTGGGCTAGATGACCTCATGCGGTCCCTTCCTGCCCTACATTCAATCCTCTGCATTGGAACCACTGGGAACATGAAACATTTGTACTCTCTGAAGCATGAAGGCAACAATACAACTTGTTTGCAAGTTGTTAAATGAGCACACCTCCAACCATGTTCTGGTTTTTTTTCTGATTTCTTTGTTCTAATGGCTTCATCAGGAATATTACGTTTACAAACTTAATTTCTTTTCCTACTTGGTTTCAAGGAACTGCTTCCATTTTAGTTCTTGTTCTCAATTGTACCAATCACTTCTTGGAGAAACAAGAAAGCATGCTTTTTCCTTTGTCCCCAATTGAAAAGCGAAGTTATTGCAGGTTGTGGTCTATGGAAAAATTTGTTGTTATTGAGTTAGCTCATACACTGATGAGGTTGACTGATATCCTAGCATGGATCTACCATTTAGGATATGATGAAAATATAAATAGAGAAGCCTTATCAAACATGGGGTGATCTTTTTGCTTGGCCCTTCACAAAAAAGGTTAACAGTCACCAGATGCTTAAAACAGTTAATTTTAACAATTAGTAATGCAAGCCAGCTGAGGGAAAAACACAGGTTGAAGGTTGTCTAGATCAATTAGATGTACTCAGGTTTTCAGTACCAGATGGATTCCCCCTAGCTAAGGTACTCACTGAACTATTAACAATTATTTGTGACCCCCTGGAGACTCCTAGGTAAAAAGCAGAAATAGCACCAGTCTTTTAAAAAGGCAAACCTCAGGAATTCAAGTCCAGTCACTTTAATTTCAATCTGTGAAGGTAACTGGGACAGATTATTAAATCAATTCATAAGCAAGTGGAGAAAGTGATAAATTGCTTATATGCATTTATCAAGAACAGATGACACCAATCCAATTTCCTTTTGACACTAACTAAATGGATTGGTAGGGGAGCAGTAGGTGGTGTATCTGGACTGTAATGAAGTTTATGGCTGTCCCATATCATGATCTAGATGCAGGTGCTGTAATGATGCACAATTGTGGCTGAAACCATGGTGTAGTTTATTGTCAAATTTGGAAGGACAAAGTGGGGTCCTACCAGGGTCTGATGCAATTTTGTATTTCTTATTAATAACTATGATGAACTAAGTGTAACAAACAATTTGAAGATGATAGTAGGGAATGTATGCACTTTGGAGGATAGGAATAGAATTCAAAATGTCGAGCTAGAGAATTTTCTGGAGTCAACCAGGCAAAATTAATAAAGAGCAAGAAGTACTGCATAGAGCGAAATTAAAGAAAGTTGCGACCAACTAGCTCAGCCCCAATACTAGTCAAATGGCACAGTGAGTCAACCTGACGCTGTTGCAAAAGGCAGCAAATGTTTGGGGATTGCAAGAAGTTCTAGACTCACCTTGGGGTGACCCAGAGCTCTATGTGCTCTCTTTGGGCAATCCACAAAAACAAATGCACAAGAAGATCCTCAAGATCACTCTTCTTAGGAAACCCAAAGGAAGCCAAGAGTTTACAGGGCCGCCTCCTCCAAGTGCCAGTTAGACTGAGACTTGCCAGAGTCATCGAAGAACAAGATCTGATTGGAGCCCTGAGGATGTGCAGCAGGCCAGTAGGGAGAGGATCTGTCCCAGGGGCACACAACAAGGAGTGCTGTGTGCAAGACACCACGGTTCAGCAGTAACAAGGGTTTGGGAGTGCCTTCTCCGGTTTTACTGTTCAGGAGCTACAATTTAGGAAAGAGGTAGGCTAAGTGTCCAGAGAACAGGAATGAGAGAAGGCTGAGAGACAGGACATAGGTATTTCAAATCTGAAGAGGGTGAGGGTGAATTGGTTTCCGTGTTACTGGGAGTAGGATAAGAAAGGAATTATCTTAATTTGCAGTACAAGCAGCTGTAACACCTGTTGGGGAAAAAAAATGTATTTAAGCACTGAAATGTTATGCAGACAGCTTACAAAACCAGTGTCACTGGTCATTACAAACTGTCAGACATGGCCCACATAACCCCTTGGGGGTGTCTTCCAGCCTTACATTTTTATAGACACGGGCAGATGAACAAATTACTCTGAGGTAATTAGAGGCAGGGCTGTACATTGTCAGCTACTTGATGGTAACTGCCTATTCTTGACCTCGAAACCACTGTAGCTTACCTTCAGATTAAGCCTATACTGATAGGCACAGTGCTAGTTGCTGTCAAGTACCTGATATTCTGCCCTCCCTTACTTTGTGGGAAATTTGGCCATGTGCCTGTACCCTAGTACCTTCAGTCCAAAATTATCGTTGAGATGGAATGAGAGAGATGAAGTCAGGTAGTACCAGTCCACCTCCTAAACTGGATCTTTTATAAGTAACTGCTCCCTTATTCTGTTAACATTTCATTTGTTAAAACAAAAAAAAATGCAGGAAATCAAAGGCAAAGATTGCTTGGCAGTATTACGAGCTTCAGGCTCTTTCCCAAGCCTTTCTCTGAATGGATTGCTCACCGCCGTGACCTTCCATCTAGGAACAGCAAACGTTTCACAGGCCAAACTGGCTTTTCTTTTGAAGGCTGAACAACAGCTCTACCTTCAACAGCAAAAGACTGCTAATAGATCCATGTTCCAAGACAAAAATCTATCATAATTTTAGCACTTCCTTAAGAGTAGCAATGATGCTTCAATAAGGAACAAAAGGCATGCAAATATATTACAACATTAAAAAAAAAGAAAAAGGCAGATATGTATTCTTCTTGCACTGTTTCTCGTCTGAAGATGTCCTCTGCATAAAAAATTAAAGTCCAGAAGCATGCTAATACGATGAATGCATCATAAATATTGCTAGGTCATTTTGCTTCATGTACCTCTGAAAACATTATTTTCAAGTGGCTTTAAGAGATGATCAGTAATCTGCTACTGAAGAAGTCTTCCATATATTGATTTGTAATTTAGAGGCCTGCTTTATTTATAGCATGCCAGTCTTAAAATTTAATAAACCTGCTACAGAAGGACTCTGTTCTTTTAATTTGACCAGACTATATTCTACTTTCTTCCACACACCGTATATAGATGCGACTATAAATAGGTGTATCTGGTAGGTGTGTATAAAGGCATGTCTTTTCATTAGCAATACTTGAAATCCGGAAGAGCCATGTTGGTTGGAGGGTGGAAAGCAGTTGGCTGTTACTTGAATGGAGAACTGAAGAGATTCTTTTCTGAAGTTTTGGCTTGTGCATCTCCCATCTGTAAGTATGGGCAGACATGCTATAAGGGGTTCTGATGTTTGCTTCTATAATGGTACGCATCAAGTGGAGTGAAATCATTGTAGATCTAACCCTATTTCACTCAGTCTTAGAAATGAGCTTAACTGCTGTAACTTTTGACAGAAATACACACCAGTACCAGTTGGAAGGTCTTATACCGGTATAACTGACTTCTGTCCTCAGCTTGCAGTATACATACTCTGCAAACCCTTGCAACTCATGTTGATTCCAAGTTGTGCCATGTGCAACAATACCAACTTTAAAAAGCTTTCGCTTTCACAAAGATTTAACTTGACAGTCTTTCCAAAATTAAAGAACCACACAAAAAATACTGACATTTCAGGAGGCACTAGAAGTGAAATGCAGCACAGCTGTTTTCTGGGTGTAATTCAAATTAGGGAAAAGGGCTATGGTCTGAGGGAACTTTACTCTTTAGTTCAGTTTAGTCAAGATACTTTCAGTTGTCAGCTGGAAAGAAAAAGAAAACCCATTCTTTCTTTGCCCCTCCATTACCTGGGATCCTTATCAAACTGTCTTTGTTTTTTTTTTTTGGAACACAAATATAGCAATAGCAAAAATACAAACTCTTAGTCATGGAAGCAAGGTTATCTAGGGTATATTTTTTGAACTACACTTTACCTTTATATATGTTAGGGGAGAGAAACCAAAGTAGATTTTTTTTTAATATTAACTTGGCTCAGCTCCAGCCTCTCTCAAATCTAAAATTACAGAATGCAACTACCGTCTAGCATCTGAACTCAACATTTATTTCTGGTCAATCTAACTAGAGCCCTTCAGAGTTTGGGCTTTGTTTTTTTCTGAACTGTTTAGCAAGGCATAACAACCCAATTACTTTTAACTTCTGAAAGTAATTTGTCATATTGACTTGACATTCTAGAGGAAATAATGTAGTGTTTTTGAGACACAGCAAGTGTGAAAATAAGTTTCTATGAACCTCAGAGTCAAGTATACAGAACATTGAGAACTTGAATTTATTAAGCTTCAAAAAGTTCACAGCCAACTCAGTGATGATGTTGCCCACTGTTTAACATCAGTTGGGCAGTTTGGGTACACCTGCAAAGCATCCATGATTTGATTGTTGTCCAACAAGAGTTTCATCAGTAGGTATTCTCGCTGGGCACGCACAGATGGTCCTTCTAGTGGTTTTATTAACTCTAGTTGTAGTAAATGTTCAAAAGCCTAAACACAAAAAAACCCAAGATGTACAAAGTGAGATTACAATGAAAGTCAACATGTTCCAAACCACACTGTGCATTTTGAAAAGTCCATGTATAGTTTAATTCCCAATGCCAAAATCTGAAGTATACCGTAAATTTTTAATCAGTCACCTCACTGACAATGGACAGAGGTGTTTATATCTCTCAAGCTTATTATTTATTAATATGGGGGGAGAAAGCAAAACCAGGACAAGTCAGGAGGTTATGTACACTGTTTTACCGCTTCCAAAAGTTCATAAATCTGACCAGAGGAAGCAAGCCTTTAGATACCAAGATGCTTTTGAAAAAGAAAACCTACCAAAAGACCTATTAAATCAAAAGTACTTTTTCATAAGATGAGCAAGATGCATAGAGTTTAACTCAACCGTCAGACCTTCCTATGGAATTCTCACAGATTAAAAAAACAGCTCTAACTTGAACACCTCATTCAGTCTAAAGAACAAATTACAAAACTTGTGGAGTTAGGAATTTACTGGCGATTTCTGTTCAACTTTGAGGCAAAGTTGGAATGCTTTTCAAAAGACATAAGCTGTCTGTCTCTGGGAGCCATGCTACACATTCAAATTAAAGTTGGATGGAAACCAGCTCTAAAGTTGTTACACATGTTCAAGCACTAACTTTATAGTTGGCTGGCACTTTTTATAGCTGCACAGTCACTTTTATGGTGTGATAATTACTTTGCACTTGTGGCCAGTTTAAATTTAATGCATGATTAACCACTTAGTCACACATATGTAGCAGGGGCATGGTACTTGACCTTTGATGCTGTTAATTTTACATTATGATAAACTAGAGATAAGACAAAGCTAAAGACCATCACCACCAGCCAGAGTATGAGGAATTTAGTAAGATGGATGACAAGATACCAGAAGTTCAAAGGCCATTGTCTCATTACATTTTATTAATGCCTATAAAGGCAAGCACAAATTCTACCCTTTTGCACCTTTAGCTCATTAAGGCCCTTGCTACATATTACATATATTACACAATTAACTGTGCAATAAATTTAGACCAGTCACAAGTGCAAAGTAATTATCACACACAAAAATGATTATCTAGCTTTAAAAAGACCTATAAAGTTACTGTTTGAAAATGTGTAACAACTCTACAGTTAGTTTCTATCCAGCTTTAATTTGAACATGTAGCAGGGCCTTGAAATCATGGAAGCGACCTCACAAGGGTCATCTAATTCAGCCCCCTGCTCAAAGCAGGATTGTCCCTGACTCTCCAACCTGCTCTTGAAAGTTTCCAGGGATAGAGATTCCATAACTCCACGTAGCCTGTCCCAATGCTTGACCACCCCTAGCCAAAAGTTCCTCCTAATCTCCAACATAAATTACCTTTGCTGCAGCTTCAAGACACTGCTCATAGTCGTATCCCCTAGAGCCACAGAGAAAAGTCTATCTCCATCCTCTCTGTAATTGCCGTTCTGATATTTGAAGGCTGTTCTCGAATTCCCCTCAGTCTTCTCTTCTCCAGCCTAAATAAACCTAGCTCTTTCAGCCTTTCCTCATAAATCTTGCTTCCCAGGCCATGACCATTTTTATCTGCATTGCTCTCTCTCCAAACTGTCCACGTCCCTCTTGACATGTCGGGCCCAAAACTGGACACAGTATACTAGGGGAGGCCTCATCTGTGCTGAAGAATCACTCCCCTTGATTTGCAAGTAGCCTCCCTGCTGATACAGTCCAGTGTAGCTGGTTAGTTTAAATTTAATTCTGCATTCTCTGCCTTGTTACAATTACCAGCTAGTTACTGCAATTGAAAGTTAATACAGTTATGATCCAGAATAAGCATTTAGGACATGCATGTGGGGATGGTTTTATTTCCTTTCTCCACAAGAGCAAGAAAGGTGCAGGCCATCCAAATAAAAATTGATTTGATGAGAGAATTTTTTTGCTGTTCATCCCCTCACTTACACAGTATGCATCTTAGAAGTTTGACTTATTTATTCTGTTTTCTTCCTATCCCAGACAGCTGGGTTCCATAGTAGCCAGAGACTACAAAGACAGATTTAAAAGATGAAAGGATATAAAACTACATGCAATTCTAAAATCTTCCCTCATGGTCCATCATGGATAGAAACACTGATATTTCATATATAAAAAGTGGACTTTTTTATCCCTTTGAAACTTGAAAATTTGCACCGACTGAAAAACGTCTTTTTTCCCCAAGGAATGTTGTCATAAGCCTGAGTTTATTTATGGCTGCTTCTCAGTGGACTGGTTTAAGTGTGTCCATGCTTGCAATCAGTTTGACCCCTCATGGAATTCAAAAGTCAGCACAGTACTGTCTGCATTTGCTTTGAACTAATCCATTTTGCTACATTATGTAAAGATGAGCAAAGGGACCAGGAACTGGCTGAGAGGATAAAAAGCCAAAAGAGCACTAGTCCAGCCAGGAGGCCAAAAAGGGATATGCTGGCAGCACAACTGATTGTTGTGGGGTTCAACTAAGACCCACTCTTCTTAATTCTGTTTCATTCTGCAATGGGAAAGTCTGGAACCTGCTACTATAAGGCAGAAAGGAAACAATGGTCTACAGGGGCAGGAGCACAGTTCCTGCTGCAAAATGCTTGATAAAAACTGATTTGAATTCCAAAAGGTGTAAGAAGTCTGGATACCAATAGATAGACATAGATTAGCACCAGAAGGAAGAATATTTCAACCTTCAACAGGACCACAACTTGTGACCCTAAGAGTCTGTGATGTACACATTCATTCTTAAACCCAGTACTGATCCTGCACATCAGATAAAAGTAATTCTTGGGACAAAAAGTCTTACTTTCTAAAAAAGGCAAGTTTCTAAGTGATATGTAGGTACTTAAGTATTCTTATTATCGTTACAACTCTGACATTTAATTCCTTCACTCTTCTATAGAAACAATTATTCTTGAATTCAGCTGAATACCAAAATTATTCCTTAATTAAAATCAGCAACAGGGATTGTGCTTAGGTACTGCTAATTTTAAGACTACTACTTTCATTTCAATAAATTGCCTCCTGAGGTCCCTTCCAACCCTAACTTTCTATGATAGTATGAAACTGTTAACCCAATACATTTAATCTTTTATATGGAAAAATGGCGCACACACAACATATGTGTGTTTATTATTTTATATAAGATCATATTATATAAGAGCGCATATATTATTAGGTGACAAGTACCCATAACATCCAGCAGAGGGCAGTGCAGTACTATGCAATGTAAATGACTACAGGGACCAAAAAAGTAAGAAGAATAGCAAAGTTTGGTCATTACAACTTTTGGATCTTTTCATTCATTCGGTAACATTCGCTTGCTTTGTATTTGGTTTGTGTGAGGCTGCTAAGTATCAAGAGAACAGATGATGTGCTAGTACACACAGCTGAATGCTTACCTAGAATTGCAATATAGAATAGTTTACAAGAAACAGGTTACAAAGAGACTTTACCTTCATGACAACAGGTTTCTCAAAGTTGTACACAGAGTGTGCCTTCCTTTGTACAAACTTCTGAAATTCTGTTCCAAATTAACAATAAACATTGTTATTTTTTTAAGACAACTGATTGTTGCAATTTTATTTAAAAAACCCAAACAAACACCCCCACACACTCACCGTTATACACCATCTGAAAGTTAAAGGGTTCTCCTTCATAAACATCATTTAGGTGTTTCATAGCTATAATTAAGCAGATTTCCAGCACAGACAAACCTACATGAAGAGGTGGAGAAGACAATAGTTCATGCATGTTAACATTAAAAATACAAGTATTTTATATACCATATTAAGATTATTCTTAAAAAAGCCCCATCAATGCAGAAGATTGCCAATTCAGGATTTGTTTTTTTAAATTGTTACACACTTTGCTCTAAAGAACTTTTTCAGCAGAAGTGCAGCTAACAGGTACCTTCCACTGCAGGCTTTTCTTACAGCAGTTACTGAATGAAGTGCTCGCTAGCCATGCTCTTCAGCAACACATTTTCCAGCACAGGCTGAATAAGAGTTGTTTGAAACTGTTTTTATATTTTGGTTTAAATTAAATGTAGATAGCTAGCCTCATAAGACTCTTGGGGAAGTGAGAGGAGATTGCCAGTTTTTTTTCCTTCTGGCATTAAGATCATCTGTGTATTATTTCAATATGTTAAAGATTTTTCCGCTCTCCGTGAGAGTCCTATTGAAAAACCAAGGCAAGTCAGGTGGCTATGTACACTGCTTTACTAATTCCAAAAACTCATCAATCTAAACAGAGAAAGCAAGCCTTTAGATACCAAGACGCTTTTGAAAAAGAAAACCCACAAAAGCGATAAAAATCGAACAAAAGCCATGGAACCTTACAGTCATTAAGATGCTGACTCCTACTACAAGTTTGCCCCCTACATAAAATTAAAAATAATTTATCTTTACCAATTAAAGTTAATTGCATTCACTCAAATGACATCATCAGGAATAACTACAGTTGTGCATACCTCATCCACCTTAGTTACCCAACTATCAGTGTGATACCAAACAGCAAAGTCCTCCCCTCCCAGAACTGTAGATATCCATGATTCCCAATGGTGCTTTAAACTGCTCTACAAAGTGACGCAGGTCAGTGCGAGTAGCTCAAGTATGCTATCACTTCAGGAAGCTGAATTCTCCTGTATATGAAGTGAAACCTTATTTGCAACAATCATTAAAATCAAACCTGATTGGAATAATCGAAGACCTGACCACAAAATAAGTTTTGTCACTATCCACAACACACAAGTACTGGGGGGAAAACCACTGACGTTGAACATTTGGAAGCATATTTGGATCCAAACTGCCCACAATTTGGAAACAAATTAGTGGAAGACACCCTACCCTCTTCAACTTAAAGGGGCAGAAATCAATTCCCATTCAGATTGTTTCTTTAACCAAGTGTACTGGTTGCTTTATCTGGATAAACACTCAACCAGCTTGTTCACTTAAGTCCCAGTCTTGTTTAGTCATCAAGTATCTACCAGGTTGTCTAGTTCTGATGAGAACCTGAACTCAGAATCAATATGATGGCACTGCACCCCAAAACATCTACCTTAGTGGCCTCGAACACATTGAATACAAGGGTGATAAACAGAACCTTGAACACAACCAAAGGAGATGGCTCACCTACCTCCAGGACTACCACCTACAACAGGGCTATCCAACTGGTGGCCCCCAGGGGCTAAATTGTAGCCCCCAGGCTCCTACCTGGCTGTTGTTCCCCACACTACTCCAGCAGCCAGGGTCTCTAGGCTCGCCCTCTCTCCAGCTTCCCTGTCCTGCCCCTGCCCTAGGAGCAAGGCCATACATCACGGCACAGTTGGCAGTGGTAGAGAACCTCACAGCCCAGGATGCCCAAGTGGCACGGTGCAGCAGGGAAGCTAAAGGGGACTCAGGGCACCTGGGCCTGTAGTATAGTGGGGAGGTGCAGGGAGCAGCAGCAGGGGAGGTGTGTGCAGTACTGCAATGGGAGTAAAATCATAGAATCAATGAGTGAGAACAGACCTAGACAGATCATCTAGTCCGACCCCCTGCCATGGGCAGGAAGGAGCACTGGGGGTGGCAGGGGTCATAAGACCCCAGCTTTATCTGGGGCCCTGGTGAACAGGCTTTCCCCGAGTCCCTTCT